AAATTTGAGACCTATTCTATTCTTCTAATTTTAGAATATTTAATTTTATAATTTATATTGTATAAATATGTAAAATAAAGATACATAAATGGAAAGTATCTCTATAGAATAAAATTTTAACATATTTTAAAATTAAATAATTTAATTTAAATTTTGTTATAGGGTTACCAAGGAAGATACTGATTCAGGATTAAGAAAATATTCGATAACCATAGATATTGAAGGCATATGTTGTATATTAATCCGTATGGAATACTTTGTATGAAACTCACATATAGGTGTGTAGTCATGAGATGTTTAACAAGGTTTTCGCAGAGGTACGATGAATTTTATTCGATTTTATCGATGACCGACATTCTAGATTCGACTTCCAATGGAACAGATTCAATATGCTATTTATAATATAACGATGTTAATATTAATAATCTATTTGATGATCAATACCTGATTTGTTCTAAATAAATAATAAATTTCTTCTAGAACTTTTCTTCCTGGATATTGTTCCTTCATCATTTATATTACCATTTAAAAAATCCTCCATTTTAACAGTTAGTATTATTATATTATTTTCTTCATTGTATAAAAATTAAAATTTATTTTCTAATAATCATTACTTAATTTTTATAATTTCAGAAATGTAATTCCAGAGGTATAATAATTATGATTGAAGATACAAGTATCAAAGTTCTTTTTATTATGTGTATGAAATATTTTATTTAATATACACAAAGATTCTATCTTCCATTATCAAATAAATATTAAAGATAGGATCTATATTTTTTTATTCTTCTATATATACTTCTATATATCTGGTTTTATCTAAATTCCAAGTACTTCATTAATCTCTTGACTTGAGTGATTTTTTCTTAATAAATGAAAATAGAAAAGTAGAGCTTTATTCAATTATTTCATCCTTGTTCAATAAATTTCAATGAATCAATTCAAAAAATTTGGATATTTACAAGCATTATCTTCCATTCATACATTCATAACAAATATATATTTTTCAAAATCTTCCATTCTTTGTTGCATAATATCTTCTGCTTTTCTATTTTCATACAATAATTTTTTTTCTACACATAAAAATCTCAAAACACAATTATACTAAAATTATCAATCTAAATATATCAAAACTAAATTAATATTATTGCCAATATCTCAAAATCATCCTTCCTTTATTCTTAAACGCATCACAATCCACTATCTATATATAATTAGCTTATTTCATTCATACATAAAAATTTCAATAAACAACATCTGCAATTCAAGAACAAATCAATTAATAATAAATCTTCTAAATCAATCATATTTCAATTAATTAAAATAATTCAATATGAAAAAATTACTCACAAATCATTCAGTTTTTCTTCAATCTTCCACCCTTTGCTCTCAAACCATCTATCTATCTTCATATCTTATCCTTTGCCTCGATACGTGAAAGTGTCTAGTCAACCAGAGGTAAAAATCGTTTAAGAAATCCAGTTCAAAGATATCCGTTGCGTCAAAGCCGAGAAAAGAGGGTCGACCCTTCCATACGTGAAATAAAGAATCGACCCGTCCCACCGATCGTTAACTGGAGCACGAGCAAAGGGTGGTTCCATACGGAGGTCGAGCCCACAGTTTTCATTCATACGCGACACATCGCGTATCACTGTGTTCACCTTGAGATCGTGGAATGACAACCTGGTTGGAATTTCCTCGGCGAGGAATTCAGATCGCTTCTGGACACGGTCCAGGAATGTTCCTCACTCTCTTGCGTCTGACATAACGGTGAAATACAATCGACGATATCCTCTTATACCAGTATTTCTCCACTTCGTCCCCTCTTTTCTCCCTCTACGTCATCGTTCAATCAAACGATTTCTTACTTTCTGTAAACATGTAAGTATTTCTTTTTTTTTCTTTTTTATTTTTATATTTATTGAACACGAGTAAACGAAGATGAATGGGAGATTGTTTGAGATTTTTTAATTATACTGGTTGATATATATTTTAACTTTGTGTTTATTGTCTTATCGTCACGATTTTTCTTCTTTATTTGAATCTGGATTAGATTCTTTTACACGCATGAATAATTCGTCGTCGATATTTTTATTTATTTTTTTAAACGTGGGTATAATCGGCATAAGTGAATGTTTCTTTGTTTATTTCCTTCTTTTTTTCTCCATGTACTATCGTATATTATCGTTCTATCGTTTTATCGTACCTTTTAAATTTTATCTGACTGAATTATGTTTCTATAATCAAGTATATCAAGTATATTAAGTAGTATTTTTATGTTTAATTCGAGTGATTATATTTAATATAATAATTGTTCGTTCACTTTTTTGCTTTTTCCTCCTATTTTATTATAATTTTTCTTTTCATAAATATGTAAATAACGCCATATTTATTTTTAAATTTAATCGCGAATGAATGTATTCGATATAAGAAAGTATTTCACTTATTTTCCTCTTCTTTCTTCTATACACTATCACAATTTCACCATGATTCTTCTTTATTTATCTAAATTATTGTTTCATAAACACAAAAATAAAAGTAACACGTGAATCATTTTATTTATTTTTACGTTTCAACGCGAACGAAGTATAATCGTAAAGTCGAGAGAGAGACGTGACCATTGTTTTGGTTGCAGAGACGCGAATCGATTCCGTTCGAGTAACTGCGACTATCGATCAATCCGCTGACTCGATTGGCAAACAGAGAACGATCGCGCGTATGAGGCGTCGGAGATTCTGACCTGTACAGCCTCGGAAAGGTTAGCTTCGTTGGACGATCGACGATACAATGGGTGAGTAATATTCTTATTTCGTTTTGCTTTAACATTTTTACGCAATTTATCGAACTATATGATGATCCATGCTTTGAATGTATAAATACGTATGATTATATGATGTATGAACACATATTATATGTCTACGTCAGGGTTGCCACCTCTGTAATTTTGGAGATTACGAAGTTTTAATAGAAATCTCATGACTCTAGAAACTTCTTTCTTCGAAAAGATCGAAGAAAATCTTTAGGATTGATTTTAATGCGTAAAGGTTATACATTAGTGATATTTCATTCTATAAGAATATTATTTTCTTTGATAAGAGATTTTAAGAATTAATAATACATTGCATTGAATAGCAAGAATCTATCAAAGGCTTGTTGCATAAAAATTTATTAGCTGATAATAATGAATTGAGAAGTTACAATTTATAGGTTAACTTTTTTCTTTTGATATTTTATGATTGAAATGAAATAATCAGACAATTTATAATTTATATAATTTAATTTTAAAGGTTCGTTTATCTTATAAAATTTGTCGTTCGTTCGAATATAAAATTCGAAATTAGAATTATGTCATCAAAATTATTTTGAAATCTCAATATATACTCGAGATTCTGAATTATCTGTTCGGTTTTCTTAGCTTGGTTCCAAGTAAAGATAACATCCAACAAGGTTTATCATTGCCAAGGTCTATCTTGTACCAGATTACGTAAAAATCGATCAGAAATGATTGTCAAGATTCTATAAAAGAAATATATTCTATACAAAGTTTTGAATATATTATATATTGAACTTTTAAAAAGAATTGCATATTTAAATTAAGCTTTATATATTTATGGAAAACGAATGTTATTCATAAAAAATTTGGAATAATTTTAATCTAGGAATTATTTTTAGATGAAAAAAAATGGTATCATTTTCATAAAACGATATTTATGAACAAAATTATTATTAATATCTAAAATATTAATTTTAAATTGATACAAAATTATGTTGAATAACATTATAAATTTAATTAAGAAATAATTTTTTTGCTTAAATTTGAATTAACAACAAATAATTCTATTAAATAAATTTCGACAAATCAATAATATTTATTGATTAATTTTACAAAATTTCGTACAATTTCTTTAAAATATTGAAAAATGAACACGTTTTACGTTCAAATATTTCATATGTCGATATATTTATTTCTCGATCGTATTGATTTTATTGATAATCACAGAGATGAAACGTGGGAAGAGTGAAGATAGGAAATAAAAAATAAAAGACGTATCAAACTATTCAATGCGCCATATACTCATAACCACTTACTATTTATCGTTTAAAAAGTACAGTAGATGTTATTGATAAGCACGCGTATATAAAGATTATCAATTGGCAATCTTTTTTGAACTTTTCTTAAACTACGTAATTGATTGATTCACGGACATTGCTGTTAACCGACTAGACGACCAATCCTTCGATTTTTGATACGTTTCGATAGATTATCGATAAATCGATTTTTTCGATACTTTCATACTTCAAGCTTCTTTCGATAGTTTCGTACTTCAAGCTTCTTTCGTTTCCATGATTTTTTAATTAATACTCGAATTTATTAATTCCGTTTGTTAGTTAGTATTTTAATTATTATTAAAAAATTTAATTAATTAATTTGTGCTTTTTTAATATATAAGAAAAGGTTATAATATAGTTCTTACTTTGTTGGTAAATTGATTTTCTCGTGATTTTCATATTCGTAATAAAAATATTTGTTTTTTTGTTACATCGTGTTTATAACAAGAAATGTGTAACATGTTTCATTTATTAATTATATAAAAAGAAAAATCTATATTGAATAAAGGATAATTGTTGCTGTGATAAAGACATCGATTACTAGTAAGTAAGGAATATTTTCTTTTATATTAATTTTTAATATTTTAATTAATATTCGAAGAAATTTAGATTTTTGAAAATAATTATTGGGAAAATTTTTGTAAATTATATATTTTACATTACATTAATCAATCAACAGTGCTTTTAATACGTCAAATATTATCTCATTAACTTAACCTAACTTTTTCCTGCAAATGTTTCAATTTTATGAAATATATTATCGATTGCAAACTTCTGCTTAATAATACATATTCATAGGGATTCGAAACCTTTCAAATCTTCAACCTTTCAAATCAATGAACAATTTGAAAATAATTTGATTCTCTGTCGTAAAACTTTGTCGTAAATCGTTAGAAGAATGATTATTGCTTCGAACGGTAGAAATGGAAGAAAAGAACGGTAGGCAAACATTGTCTCGGATCGTTTGTGCAAATTGCAGCTGGAACAGAAAGAAAGATTCAGGATCTGGGTATGAGTCACAGAGACCCGTTCTGTCAACGCGTAGCTCGATATGCGTGCGGACACGCAGTCCGGAAAGCACGTGATTCATCGGCCCCACAATCAGCCAATCTGCATTAACAACGTGCTCGGTGATTCTGAAACAGCTTTTCCTAACCCTCTTGAGTCTCCTCGTCCCTCCTTCGAGAAGGTATTGTGTAAAACCGTCCCGTTAGACGAACTGATACCGGTGATGGTTGGAAATTGATGCAATTACACGAAACCTTGTTTTCGTACAGTTCGAAAAGAATTAGGTGACTTTTCATTGGTCAACATGATGCATTTCATGATCCATTCCTTTCTTTTCTTTTCCTGTTTTGATTGGTTGGTATATATATATATATATATATATATATATATATATATATATATA